TCGGGCAGCACGGTGGCGCAACTGGTAGAGCTGCTGCCTCTCAGCGAGCAGGTCCTTGGTTCAAACCCCGGTCCAGGGGCCTTTCTGGGTGGAGTTTGCATGTTCTCTCCGTGCATGCGTGGGTTTTCTCTGGGTGCTCCGGTTTCCTCCCACAGACCAAAAACATGCATGTTAGGCTGATTGGTATTTCTAAAAAACTGTCCCTAGGTGTGCATGAGAAAGTGAATGGTTGTTTGTCTCGTTTGTCTCTATGTGGCCCTGTGATGGACTTGCGACCCGTCCAGGGTGTACCCCGCCCCTCGCACAGTGATTGCTGGACATGGGCACCGGCGACCTCCGTGACCCAAAATGGAATAAACAGGTAAAGAAAATGGATGGATGGATGGATATATATAAAGTTTTTAAAAAAGTAAGATGAGGCTAAATTAAGTGCAGGTCGAGTTCATTAGTCTGACAGCTGCAGGGAAGAAACTGTTTCTGAGCCTGGTGGTCTTGCTCTGAATGCTCCTCAGCCGCCTGCTTGAGGGGAGGGGCTGGAACAGACTGTGGGCAGGATGAGTGGAGTCCTTCATGATGCAGAGCGCCCTCCCCCTGTATCCTGAAGTGTAGAGGTCTGAGGTGGTGGGAAGGCTGCACCCCACAAAAGCTGTCTACAACAGGTAAGCTCTTAACTATTCATGACCTTTATAGAAAATCCCACTTTAGTAAACTCGTCTATCACTTGAATGTTGCATTTGTTGTTTTATACTAGCATTTGCTTTATCTATTTCTTTCAGGAAGTACAGGTTCCACATTCTTCATTAGTAAACAGCCTTTACTATGAACCATGTTGTGCATTAACATTTCATATTTTTGATGGTGCAACGTGACAGCTGCTACATGATCTCTTGTTTAAGAAAAATATACTTGAGCGTGGTGGCATTTTGCAATTTAAAAACACAGCTACATATGAAGCCACATGTGACTGTGGCCTTGTTCTGGTAAAGCTGAACCACTTTCTTAATTCACAGTACATTCAGTACAAACTTGGATCTAAGCAATACACATTTACTTTGTCAAAAACTAACAATATTTGTATAGGAAGTGGTATTGCAACTCTCTGTTGTTAAACGTTGCACCAGCATTTTGTTCATTCTTCGTATGCATTTTTCTTTTTTCTTTCTGCTGAGTGGCAAATTCACCTCTCAGCAGTAAACTAAATGATCGGTGCATACCTTATACTCCATGGTAAATTACATTAATTGTTTTGAGCCCTGACATACCAGCACAATTATAATCGTCCCAGCAGTGTTGGTAAATGTATTATTGATCAAACTGTTCACGTTAAATGATGTTAGCAGCAGAGAGCACAAAGGAAAAAGGAGGTGCAGATCTTTAAAAAAAAGTTCCTCTAATTCAAATTTTGTCTTGTCATTTATTTATTTATTTTAAGTGGGGTTGGGGTGGGGGGTCTTACCAACAAGACATATAATTCATGTTTGCATAAAGAAGTTATATCTTTCGCTGGAACCTCCAATATCTCGTGTTTCTAAAAGGAACATTAATATTGGCAGAGTAACTCAAGCAGAATTAGATCCATATTTAATTTTTTATGGGGGCATAAATTGAGAAGTGAGTGCTTGGGAGGTGATCAGACAGAATCACTTCTAAAGGTTTTGTAGACATAGCCTTCCAGCCTGAATTTAATGTGAAAGACAAACAGAAAATAAAACAATTATATGGGTACACTGACACATTCAAACTGCACATAGACAATAGTGTACCGTAATTTCTGGACTACTGAGCGCACCTGAATATAAGCTGTGCTCACTAAATTTAAAAAGAAAAAGATTTGTACATATATAGGTCACAATTGTATATAAGCCACGGGTGTCGTTGTAACATAAGATATTTACACAGATTTTTTTTTTAAAAACTTTTAATTAAATACGTATGGATACCATACACAAATATGTACAGTAAATATTTATTTCTGAACAGTACCCGTAACATGGCTGGTATATATATATATATATATATATATATATATATATAT